GCATGTGAAGGAGAGTGGGGGTGCAGGTTTCACAAGACAGTAACAGAGTGTAGTGAGCTCTTAGGCCTAGGGTCTGTCTGTGCATGTGGATAACACCAGATCAGTGGAATCTAAGACTCGGGGGGAAATAGAGGGTGGGTTTCCTCTCCCATGTTTTACCCCTGTCCTTCTGGGGACACCTGAGACTAAAACCAAAATGACATTCTATAGAAAAGCACCATGGGACGGGAGACAGAGAAGCAGGACCCAGGAAATACAATAATTAAATAATACAATAAGGCTTAAATTTCCAAGTTGATTCTCGGGTATCATTTATAAAAGTTAACAGGGCATATTTAATTTAGGAATTGGCTCACGTCCTTCTCCTTACAGCTGAAACCTCATAAATGAAATATACTGGATCATTGCCCGGTGCGGAAATAAAAGTTATGAATAATGTTTCTATCTCAATCATTGTCAGTGCTTTAATATTCCTAATTACTTTAAAAAGCTAGATATTCAATATAGGAAAACTTTTTTTTCTTTTTATCTCCACTTGTGAGATTAGTGCAATTTAATAAGAGTCACTCTGTCGTCTTTATTCAGTGTAAACTGACATTTCATCCTTTTACTCTTCATTATTATATGGGATGGAGGTTTATGACCAAGCTTGCAGCGACTCTATTTCCCCATATTGGTCTGTCTAACATCTTGGAATTATTCACAATAGCTGACGTGTCCACCCACCATGCAAGTCAGCATCACCTTACTTCCTTTATGGAGCAGAAAGAAATTAGTCCAGACCCTGAAGAAATTAGGCCAAAGGGTTGTAAGTCTGCTGAAGAAGGAAAAGTCCCCTGTCCCCACCACAGTACTATATCTGTCCTCTTTGTGTCTGTCAAAATCATGGCAGCCACAAAGGGTAGGGCAGGGGCAGACAGTACGATGATGGATCTTTATAACTCTCCTTGCCACTTCCAGGAATTTATCCCAAGAAAAAATTGGGACAAGTGGACAAAGATATATACACAAGAATCACTGTAGCTTTTTTATACAGGGCCACAGTTCCTTATCCATAGATCTACAGTGCAAAAATCCTTAAGATGTCCAAAAGGAAATTTTTTGAAAGTTCAGACCCAAAATTCATTTAGAGGCAAAATCTTCATGGAACTAATCTGTGATTATATATTGTCTTCATGTCAGTAGATATATGTAGTCATATTCACTTTAGAAATATTGCTATGTTTCCTCTGAGGATAGCCCAGGTCCCACTGGGGATAGGTGTCATATCTGATAAGTTACCACACACCTTTCTAAACCCTGAAAAATATCTAAATTCTGAAGCCAACAGGCCCCAAGAATTTTGAATAAAGAACGGTGGGTCTAAAATAATGAAAAATCAGAAACAATCTAAAAACCCTAAATCAATGAAAAGCTGGTTATATACTTTGGGTAATCCGTAGAATGAAATTATAGAAGGTCATTAAAATTTTAAAGGGATATTCATGTTTATTGACAAAGAAAGGAGGGCAGGACATAAAATTGAATCTAAAACACAAGTTACAGACCAGAAAATACATCTAATTGAAGAAATAAAAGTTGCATCAGCTCTAGCTCTAAGAACAAATGTATAGAGAAGTAACAGGGAGGTTAAGCAAATGCCAGAAATGGTTACCCTGTGTACACGGATTTCACCTGTTGGCCTATATTTTTGATGCAGTTTGAATTTTCTTTTGAATACAACATATATATAGTTCTGGAATTAAAAAAAGCCAAGAATAATGCTTTCAATTAAACAAAAATTAAAGTTTCCCTGCAAGGGTGTCATATGTATAGACATATATATAGACAGATCCCATTCAGAAATCTCCAGAGTACACACCGCACTGACTGGGAGAGCCATCCCCATGGACATTGGTCCTCCAAAGGCTCTAGAGCCCCACAGGGCACAAACAGGCAGACAGGCATCCAACAGCACAGTAACAAACAGGCTCAAAGATCTTGGAGTAAACCTAGTCACCATTTGTGTTTCAGGGTTGATTCACCTATTTCTACAATAATATCTCAGGACCACATCTTTCAAGCAGATCCTTCCTTCCTCTGTGGTCAACTACGTTTTCTCAAAAAGACCTATTTCAACTTTAGGCTGAATTAACAGGTTAAGCATCCAGGAAAAAGGAGAGCATAATATAATAATTAAGAGTTCAGGTTTAGAATCCAGGTTTTCAGTTGGCAGTCCCAATTTCACCATTTAGTAGCTGTGTGTCTGTTGAGTAGCACAGTTCTTTTAACCTCTCTGTGCTTCAATTTTCTCATCTGCTATATGGGGATAGTAATAATTCCTACACCATAGGATTATTGTAACGATTCAACGAGGCAATAAAGTACCTACTGCACAGTATAATTCAATAAATAGTACCAATCTCGATTATTATTTTTCCATACAAGTCTGCAGTTGTGTGGTCAAATGTAGGAATGGCAGCTTAAGAGGAATAAAGGTCCCAGAAATGGAAAGAAATAAGATGGGAAGGCAGTTCAGACCACCTCATATGAGAAACAAGGGAGAATAAATATTTGGGGAGGTACATGATCACTGTCTCTTAACACCTGAAAGGCTGCCCCATGGATGGGGATTTGGTTTCTTCTATGTGGCCTCCATGGCTATTATCAACTGCTCTGAGACAGCTATGTCTCAGACAGCCATGTTTCCACACACTCTGAGGCCTTGTCTACTGAGCTCCTAGGGAGGAATTCTAGACATGGGAAGGAGGTTATAGTGATCATCACCCTGCCCTGGACTTGATCATGAGCAAGAAGCATTCAGTAGAAGCTGGGGACAAGCTGCAGTGAAGGGAAAACTTTCCAACAGTCAGAATGCACTCCCATAGGGGACAGCAAGCCCCTTATCTATAGAGAGAGTTAAGCAGAGGCTGCAAAGCACATGGCAATCATTCAGTGCTCTGAATGATTTTGAGAATGAGTCTATGAATTCCCTTAATTCAGTGCTGCTGGCCCATGTCAGGGCTGGAATCCATCCTTTAGGGCTTCCAGAGGAATTAGTACATGCCTCTGAGTAGGTAAGGTATGCTGACTCTTCAATTCATGGGGATAGACTCAATTGAAGAAACTGGTGGTAGACTGCTCAGATCCAAATCTGATGACAGACTTAAGGGGTGAAATTAGGTAGCCCAGTTTCGTGCTATAAGGTAACAAGGCTATTTTCCCATGTGTGTGGTAAACTCACTCTGGGGGCAAGATTAAACTGCGAGGTCCCCTTTATCAAGGGCTGCCTTCATCCCATTTCTTTCACCAGACTGGAAACTTTGAGAAAATGCAGACCAAGTCTAAAAGACCCTCCATTTGCCTCACCCTCCCCAGCACAGACCAACATATAGTGGGCTCGCACTGCTTGGGGATTTATGGGCACTAAGGACCCCCCAGGATTCAGGCTGTATTTCAACTTCCAACAGGCGCCAACATTACAATCTGGCAGCAGCAAGTAGACCTGTCCCAGCAGGGTTCACCTAATCAACTTAGATAGTGCTTCATCAAAGATTCATTGTAAGCAGAGTTACACAAAACAAAACACAGATGGGGGAGATAAAAGCTCTCAACATTTCAGCCAGCACATTTTCTATAGTTCAAGTCCACAGGAAATGGGGCTAACGTATTCTTTCGGTGCATGCGTCCATCAGGTTTACTTTTCATTGTCTGGAGGAGTCTCTGACCCTACTTCTTAGCCACCTTAAAGCAGGGGAGCATGCAGAAGGAGGCTGCCACCATGGTTATGGCAGTCTCCAGGCACTGAAATCAGACTCTCGAGCACCCCCACACAGATCCTAGAATCCCTGACCCAAGATAACTCCCCAGGCTCAAAATAAAACCACATCCAGTCACCTTGCTTTGGCTGCCATATTCTCAGGCACTAGGTAGACAGGTAGCCAAGGCCTTTGGGGAAAAGGATGCTTCCACCCCAGCAGATGGAGTGAAAAAAAGGTCCAAGAGGAACACATTGGCCAACATGGACCCACTATCCCCTTCTCTAAGTATTCACCTTTGCAGCTGCAACAGGACAGGGAGGGGGAGGTGGCTCCTAAAGGTAAATAATGGGAGTTAGACCCCCTCATGGATCAGCCTAGTCATCTACTCAAGTCACAATAAAAAAATCAGGCTCTGCTAAAGCAGGAAAAGAATTGGGTTTTGACACTAATCAAGGAGGACACCAAGTCCTCCTTGAAAATCAAATAAGACCATGGCATTTACTAACCATTTGTAAAATGTGCCCATGGAAAGCATCATCTATGACTATTCAGGGAAAATGAGCCAGAGAAGGAACTGGTCTTCATCTGGACTCTTGGCAGAGAATCCCCTGGGCAGGCCCTGGGTGTACGTCACCTTCTCAGCAACCTGCCCTACAGTGGAGATGCTACCCCATGTTGTTATGGGTCACTGGGTCAGTCCCAAGAGTACCCATTTCACTACAGGTGCAATAGGAAGTCTTCCAAAGATTGTGAGCAGAGAAATGTATGAGTACGGTGACCTGGTCCCATGAACATCCCATTCTCCTGCATTTGGGGATTAGAGACATCCAGTGCCCACCAGTGTCATGAAGCAGACCTCCAAGCCTTAGGGAGCCCTCACAAAGCTGAGCCTTTGGACCAGCAGAGACAAGAACCAGGCCTTAACCATAGTGACCTTCTGGGTCTGCAGCCTTGGGTGGCATCTCAATTTCACTTTAATCCTCAAACACCTTATTGAGAGATATTACATCAAAAGTCAGAGTGTGTCAATGGCCCCACAATTCCCCATACATGCGATACACATTGCCACTCCATATATCACAGATCATTCCCCCCAAACCCTAGAGCTCTCCATGCTAAGTCCCATCATGTACTGAGCTCAAGTCTGCCTCCTCCTAGACACCCATGCTCCCCCAACGCAAAGAATTCATCATGGACATGGCACGACCCTTCCCAAGCCAGAGCCAGAGGCTTCCTGACTCCCAGAGAATTCAGACTCACCGCTGGAGCAGTCGGGCCCTCCCCAGCCGGGCTCACAGTGGCAGGTGTCCGGGGAAATGCAGCGGCCATGCACACACTCCTCCGTACACAGGGCTTCAGGGACCAGGCAGAGGAAGGAAGAACAGGAACACAGTGAAGACCAACTATCCGGTTAAGGAGCATGAACCCGTTTTAATGACCCCCCCCCCCAGGGCTAAGGGATGCTCAGAAAACATCACACCATTTGGTGGGGGGGGCACAAATCCAGTCACTCCTGATCCGAGTCACTGAATTGACTCCAAAATGGATCTAACAAGAGTGTGCTTCATCCCAACCTCGTTTCCTAAAGTGAAGCCCAAGCCTGTGAAGCAGCAGCCTTGGTGGATTTCCTAAAACATTTCCCCCAAGGTCTAACACAAGAGACCCTCCACATATCCCCCTCCACATTCACCCTCCTGCTATTTCCCATCAGCTCAGGAGGGACCTGTCATGTCCATCTCTTGCTTTCCCCCATTTGTAAAGGCCCCGAGATGTATCAGGTTGCCAGAAAAGAACAGGTTCCTCTCACGTTTCCCCCACCTTTCTGCCCTCCTCCCCAAATGTCCCTATTTTGGGGCTCTCAAATGTCAGCAAATCTGCAAAGTACACAAATGCTGAGGAAAAAGCAACAGCTAATTATAAGAAAGTAATTAAGAGAGACATCCACGATGATGATAATTGTAATTAGAAAGTGCCTGGCAATTTCTTATCACGCAGTCAAACACCACAGCCTTGTGAGCTGGGAGGTAACAGCAGCAAAGTTTCCATCAACGACTCAGTGTGCTGAGCAGCTTATTGGCAGTAGTTTGAGGAAGGGAGATTATTTCTCTCTTTCTTTGACATCCACATTTCCTCAAGGTCATCCCTCGCTCCTGAGAGATCTGCCCCACCATCTAATCCATCAGCAAAGGATTACAGAAAACCCCATGTGTCACCCCCGCCAGTTATGTAAGCAGGGGAAATCAGCAGCTAACATCAACCCTGTCAATTTCTTAGAAGGCATCTAGATGAAGCACTTTTTTCCTGACAAGCAACTGGAAACCTTTCCTGTTGAGAACTGACCCAGGGAGCAGGTAGCCCCGATGGCGAGTTTTGAGGGGTTGCCACTGACCTCTGAATGCCCATTGACTGACACATCTACTGCCCAACATGAATGCCGCCTGAGAGGGCACGATCAGGTTAGACAACTAAGTCCATTTTATGGTTAGGGTGGGGTCCCCAGCTACTTCCAAACACAGATGCTGGCTCTGAAGATGTTGCCTCAGCTTTGCCCCACCCTCCAGGCCAAGCTGACACAGAAAAGCCATTTCGGTAGCCCCCCTGATCAGTGGTCTGCAGTCAGTTGTCCTCTGCAAGCCAGGGAGGGCCCTGGCACCTGTGCCCTGCTCATTTGTACAAGTCGCTTTGGGAGGGTTCTGGCTTGTGCTAAAGACTTCTGCAAACCCCCTTTTGGAGCTCTGGGGAGTGGCCAGGGCTACCAATTAATGCATTTCCCACTGGGTAACTGGGCTGGACATTGAGCTCAGTAGCCAGCTCCACTTCAAGCCACGGTGAGCTGCTCATTTGATTGCTAGCAAAATCCCAGTATGCCACCCACTGCCTGGCATTCCCTGTCCCCTCCAGACTCCCACCCCCCCACCCCCCCCACCCCCCCACCCCCCCGCTCTGCATGAGAGGCCCAGCTGCTTCCTCCTTCCCTCACCCCACCTGCATTAGCTGACATCCCAGCGTGGTCCACAGCTGGCCCTTCCACATTCCAGCACACCCCTCCCTGGAGCCCATCAGATTTACTCATGACCCCTCCAGCTGCCTTCTCACCGCAGAGTGCAGCAACTTGGTTCCTGGGGCTTCTGCCAAGAGTGAGCTGAGCAGGCAGAGAATGTGACCCTGCTAAGTGTCAGGGCCGGGAGAGACCTCAGAGAAAATCACATATGACCCCATTTGATGCATGGAGAAACTGAGACCCGAGTGGTTGTGACCTTGTGGACAGTGTGTGAACTCTTGGCTGGGGAGGAAGGAGTTTGGGGATGAGGCTCCTGGAGGAAGAGGTCTCTGAAGGCAGAGGAGGGAAGAGGTGTCCAACACCTTGGGGACTTTGATGCAGGCTAGACAGGACAGGGTGCTAGCAGCAGCTCATAGGAGGAAGAAGGAAAGTCAGGGAGAGATGGCAGATGACCCAGTGCCCTCCAACCCTTGGGTTCCCCTTGGCCCTTCTGATCTCTGGTGCATCTCCAGCACCCTCTCTCTAACTGGAAGGGAGGGATCCTTAGTGTCCTGAGCAAGCTCCACGCAGCCTTTTCCCTGGGACCCCTGGGACAGTCAGTCAAGCACCTCCCTACCCCTCCGCCCTGCATCTATATTGCTCCAGTGACCCTGCACACAGAGGACAGAGGACAGCCATCCCACAAACCCTGACTCTGAGGATGTGGCTGCTGTGCCTGCAGTCCCTTCAAATCTGGGTGTTGCTCCCCCTCCTCATTGCCCTGGTATTATGCCTGGGCTATTTGCTTGTCAAAATCTCAATCCATTCATATTTCATAGGTGTTGTTTAGACAGTGTTGTTTGAGGCATGAAATATTGATAGCAAATACCCACGGCTCAAATGGCCATATTTGGCAAAGGAGCTTCTGTGTGTTTGTGTACCTGGTGGGGAGGGAGAGGAATGGGGATACTGCTGGGAGAGTTGGCAGGCCCTCTCCAGAGGCTGGGGTTTACACCACAGTGGTCCCTTCTTGAGTCTGCATGTCCCCTGGTTCTTCCTGATCCCAGGCCCCCACGCCAGCTCACCCCAAGGAGGGGCTGAGTTAGAATTCTGCCACTCTGGCCTCCCCCTTTCCCTGGCTCCTTTAACTCCAAATGGGGGCATTGTGTCGAGGCCCTCATCCCACTCCCGCACATCCATCTGCTGTCGTGGATGAGGAGTCAGACCCAGAATGCCAGGCCTGGACCCAGCAATGCCACGGAGGAACTCTAGACCTCGGGCAAGTTACTTCCATGTCAGTCCCCATCTGTTCAATGGGAGATGGTGGCAGAATGGGCCTCGGCTGTGTGTGAGTGTGGGATGAATTGACAAAGTGCCCAGAGCAATGCCCGGTCATCATCAGTACTCAATGAATCTTGCTATTATTAGTAGGGTCTCCTCAGACTCTCCCACCCTTCCTCAAGGTGCTAGCCACATGGGATGGGCTATAGGGACCTGCTGATAGAAGCCTGGTGGGGAACAGTGCTGCTGGAGGGGAAGGTCCCCTCCACCTCTGGTGGGGGACAGGGTGACTGATAATGTGATGACCTAAGTAAAATCCATATCTACCAGTAACAATGATAGTTATAGGACAATAAGCAAATCATTTAACCTTCCATGCCTCAATTTCTTCATCTGTAAAACGGGGATAGTAACAGTAGCCACCTCATGGGTTACTGCAAAGATTTAACGAAATAACACAGGCAAAGTGTTTAGACTGCCTGGCACACAGTAAGTGTTCAATGAACATAAGCTGCCATCACGCACACACCACTGGATCTGGCGTCAATGTCTATAAAACAGGTGACAGCTGCTACCACTTATTGCTGCTTCCTGTTTATTACCATTTTCTGAGCACCTACTCTGGGCCAGCCTTAGGGATGTCAGCTCACACGCTATCTCAAGCTCTGCCACAGGCCACCCCAGCATGAGTCAGCTATGTCAGCACTCATCGCTCCTTTATAGATCTCCAGCCTCTGGGGGACTGAGGTCACTTTCTAATCAGCTTTTCAATCTCTCATGCTGCCTGGTAAACAGTAGGTGCTCAGTTGTTTATAGATCCCCAGGAGCAAGGCACCAAAGTAACTCCTGGAAAGGCGTGCTTGTCTTTGAGTCAGAGCTTAGAAACAGAGTCATAAAATGTCTGTACCTGATACCCTGGTTCAGACTGTTTCTGGACCTGTGGGGTCTGGAGGAACATAGGTGTGGAGTTACAGCAGCACAACCACAGGTGTGCTGGGTCTCAGCAATAGCAAGCAAATAACTTTCCTCTCCAGGCCCTGCAAGTTCACCTGTAATTCAGGAGCAGATGAGACGAGGTCTGTAGTCCCATTCAGCTAAGAACCATGCAAGCTGTCATCCCACCTACCCCACCAGTACACACCTGACAAATGCTATTGCTCTAGTTCTACTTCCTGACCCCCAAGCTCCATCCCCTTTCCAGGGCCTAGTAACCTTCTACTCTTGACACCCCAGGTACCCCTGATTTCTGTCCTCTATTCCTTTGGAAAAGGTGCTGGGTTAGGAGGCACACATGACTCAGGGTATGTAGCTTCTTCCCTCATCCAAGGACATTGGTCCACACAACCCCAGAGCTCCTTCCTTTGCTGACATTCCTCATCTGATCTAGGACTGCTCTGCTTCCACCATGACACCTTACAGCAGCTGGAAGCTTGAAATGCTTCTGCTGGTCTCCCCAGCACTGCATCACCTGATCACCAAGGCTAGACATGGGCTCCACCACCCAGCACCACCAAGAAGTCATCTCCAGCCACACCATTGGTACAATATGAAGGATGAACTATTTTCCCACCAGAACCCCCTACCCATGTCCCCCAACTGGCCCAGAGGCCTTCTCTTCCTCTGAACTCTCACAAATAGGGGAATATAGCACACTTGACCTCCTGCCACTTCCCCCTTTAGTGTGGGTCCCTCTGGTCTCCCCAACTGGACTGTGAACTCCTTGAGGGTAAATCCAGGGTCTCAAACATCCTGGACACCCCCATGGGCTGTGCCTCACCTACACTCCATGTGTGGCTATTGGTGAGTCTTCTAAGTGTCTGTTTTTTTGCAAGGGATGTTGACAAGCCTGGGAGCAGGGGCAGGAGGCAGAGGGTGTGGATACATGAATCTGAGGGTCATGGAGGTAGTGTGACTGGGGGTGTGGAGCTATTTAGCTGGGGGCTGGGAGGCAGGTCAAAGTGGACAGGCTGAAAGGCTGCTAAAGGGAATTGGAAGCTACTCTGACCCAGACAGAACAGGGACAAAGGGACACATGTGACAAGGGGACAGATTTCAACTTCCCTCGGGCATGACTGACACTGAAGGGGATTTA